TCGCATTTGCTTGTATCGGAGTTTTTTTTCTCATTTCTTGGTCTGTAGTATATGTTTGTTTTCCTATGTCACTTGTTCTAAAAGATGATAGCCATTCCGGACCTTGCCACCACAGTTGATTGTCTTTCAATTGACCAGCAAATTGGCCTCGGCTAGCGGCATCAGCAGGGTTTTCTGTTGTTTTGACGTATCCCCACTGGGAGCCTGGCATCACTTCATGTATTTTTCTGACTCTGTTTTCCACATATACTTTCCATCTTGATGGGTCTCCTTGTAGCCAACCCAGTACGACCATGGAGTCAGTCCACCCGTAGATTCGCAGTTCATGTTGATTTAAGGCTTCTTTTATCTTAAGCATTAGTTTAGCTAATAGATAGGCTCCATTTAATTCTAGTCTGGGCAATGTTGTTAGTTTTTTCTGTGGTACAAGTTTAGACTTAGCAGCGACAAGTGTGATTTTTGTTGACGCATGGACTCGTGCGTAAATTACGGCAGCGAAGGCGGCCAGCGAAGAATCGCTGAACCCGAATAATTCTATTGTTGAGTTTTCGTTACTCATGAGCCATCTAGGTATTTCACAAGTATTTATCGCTTTTATATCCGCTTGTATCTTGTACCACTCAGTGTTTATGTTATCTGATACTTCGTCGTCCCATTCTAATTTTGTTTCCCATAATTTTTGGAACAATAACTTCAGTTTTGTTGATAAAGGAGCGAGCCATCCTAGTGGATCGAATAATTTCGATATCTCAGCCAGTAGACTGCGTTTTGTATGTTTTTGGTTCTCGTTTGAAATAGAGCATTGGAAAGTGAATTTGTCTTCCTTTGGGTTCCAACACAGACCAAGAGTTTTGGACGTTTGTTCTGTTCTGAATTTGAAAAAGTCTTCATTGACCTGTTGAGATGAAACTTGATCTAGTAGCGTCGCGTTGTTTGTTGTCCATTTCCTAAGATTGAACCCTCCACTTTTAAGCAACTGTTCCAAGTCGGAAATTATTTTCTTTCCTTGTTCTGTTGAATGCGATCCATGAACTAGGTCATCCATATAAAATGCTTCTTCTAGTACCTTTGAAGCCTCTGGAAACTGGTTTCTTTCATCTGCTGCTAATTGTCTTAACGTCATCATGGCTAAGAAGGGCGCTGCCTTGGTACCATATGTGACTGTTGTTAGCTGGTAAGACTGTAAGGGTTGATTCGGTGAGTCTCGCCATACAATCCTTTGTAATGGTTGGTCACATTGAGCTACTAAAATCTGTCGATACATTTTTTCTATGTCAGCGGTGTAAGCATATTTGTACTGTCTCCACTGAATTAGTAATGTCTGCAGATTTTGTTGTAGGTTTGGGCCCCGGTACATAAGATCGTTTAAACTACATCCAGTTGATGTTTTTGCGGATGCATTAAACACCACCCTGTACTTGGTTGTGGTTGATTCGGCCTTGTGGACGCCATGATGTGGTAAATAGCACTCCGGTGCTGTAATACTCGTTGATAGTTTCATGTGACCCAGTTCAATATATTCTGACATAAACTCTCTGTAGGATTTAGCTAATTGCTCTTGTTTTTGTAGCTTTCTTTCCAGATTTTTGAACTGAGCTATGGCCATCGGTTTGGATACACCTATTTTGTTTGCCATGTCAGGTTTCATTGGCAATCTGACCTCATATCTCCCATCATTTGAGCGCTGTGTTGTGTTGGTGTAATATTCAATGCATGTTTGATCTTCCTGTGAGATATTAGATTGATCACTAATGTCCTCCGCATCCCAGAATTGTTTCATATCTTCCACATTATTCAATACTACATTGCACTGAAATGTTTTAGCGCTTCCGCACAGAAGCCATCCTAGTTGCGTTTGCTGCGCTATAGGTTGGGTGACGTCATCACCTTTGATCATTCCTCCCAGCATTATTTGAGAGTAAATGTCAGCTCCAAATAAAAGATCCACGGAGCTACTTTTGTTGAAGTTTGGATCTGCTAGATTAATGTTTTGCAAGTGAGTCCATGATGGTTTTGTAAAGGATCTGTTTGGAAGGTTTTTGATTAGGTTTTTCATAATGAGTACAGATGTTTCAAACTTAAACTCATTATATGACGATTGGCATAAGATTGTTATTAGCCCTTTACAGCTTGATTCCTTTTGTCCAACTCCAAAGATAACGCCTTTGCATTTTTGACGTTTCGCACCAATAATTTGCGCGGCATGTTCGGTAATCAATGATATCTGTGACCCTTGATCTATAAGGGCTCGCATATTATGTAAGGTTCCATCAGCACCTTGTACCTTGACTATCGCGGTTGCTAATAGAATCTCATAGTCATTGTTATCTCGAGAGACATTGGCAGAAATAGACTCTCTTTCTTCAGTGCTCTTATTGCATGCATCGTGTAATAGCGTGTTGTGTTGACCTTTGCACTTTCGGCATCGGTAAGTCGATGTACATTTGCGCCCATTATGGCTAAATAGACAATTAACGCATAACTGCAATTTGTTCACTGTGCTTAGTTTTGCGTCATTATTCATTTCTAAAAACTTAGCACAACGATATATGCCATGTTCGTTATTGCAAAGTGGACATTTCAGTGTTAATGTATGAAATGATTTCGTAACCACCTTGTTGCTATCTGACTGGTTGTATTTGTAATTGTTGTGGTACTGTTTCTTTGGGTATGAGTTTCCTTGGCTCTGTGAGTTGGATCCATTAGTTTTCTGGATAACATCTTGTTTACGCTGAGATGATTCCAATGAGGTAAACTTTGCTTCTATGTAGTCTAGGAACTCTTGCAACACAGGCAGCTCACGGGAATTTTTCAACGAGTCATTGTAGTCTGAAAGTGTTACTGAGTCCAACTTCAGTGACAACATGTGCACTAGCATAGGATCCCAAGATGTAATATCAACCTCCAAGTTTTTTATAGCGTGTAGGCACTCAACAGTGACATCATGCATTCTCTTGAGTGCTGTTAGGGACTGTTGTTGCATGATCGGCATATTGAGCAGCATATTGAAATGTGTGGCAAATATATGTTTCTTGTTATTGAAACGGCGGTTGAGAATTTCCCAACACATCGAGTAGTTTTCTGAGCTAATCTGTAAATGCTGTATTAGCCTTTCAGCTTCTCCATGCACCTTGCTCTTCAAAAACTGCATCTTTTGTGCCGGCGACAACGATATATTATTGTGTATCGCTTCAGTAAAGAGGTCTTTGAAGGACATCCATTGATTATATTTTCCGTGAAATACTGGTATTTCTAACTTAGGCGTTGTTTTCTGTTGGTGAGTATTTGCCCACATCTTGGTGTTTAGAGCTCTTTTCACGCTGTTGAATTGCATCTCATACCTCGTGTAGCGTTCGTCATAGGTTACAATCTTGTCGCCGTTAAGCTCGCACTCTATTTCCCAGTGTAGCTTATCAACAGCTGACCAACGCGCTTGTAGTATTTGGAGAGCATCCTCAAACTCCCACTTCTCTGTTATAAATTCCACTTGAATGTTAGCTACAGCTCTCATAAAAGCCTTGAAGTTCGCTGTTTGTTTACGAAGCAGGTCATCCAGCTTGCTGTTGGATCCTATGTCTCTCTTCGTGAGGATATGTTGTTGTTGGCGAGAAGGAGATCTATCTCTGTCGCTGTCATCATGTGTTTCAGATGGATTGTTCGTGTCACCCTCCTCCCCACTCGATTGATTCTCTTTTTCTCCGGCAACACTCTCTTGAACTTGCTGAGAGGTGCTCGGTGTTGGTGTTACTAATTTCCCAGTTGAGGACTGTAACTGTTTTGAAGACTGTTGGTGTTGGGAAATGATTAGATCTTTCACATCTTGATAAATCTGACGTGTCTTGGTGTACAAAGCAGATGTAAAGTATGGGTGTTTACCGCTTTCTTCTGTCGTGAAACGGTCATGGTTAAATTGAAACTCACCCCATAAAGTTTCTAACATCTGCATTCGCCGCTTGAAATAGTCAGCGTTCTTCCTCGCCCAACCGTCTTTCTTGATGTTGATTCCAACCCTCTGTATGTTGTCAGACAGTTCCTTCTGGTTTTGATACATGTCTGCTGAGGACTCCATCATTCACTGTTATACTTCCGTTAAATACAAACGAAAACTTCGACTTTATCAATGCAGACTATCGCTCCACTCTCTCGGTTCTTGCTATTGTGTGACCACCTTTACTTACGATATTTTGCGACTTCTCAATTGATCACTGGTGAGACCCGCTTCTGGGAGGCCAGTGCAACCGATTCGCGAACGTAAATAAATAGTGAATCACACCGTTGCTCGAAGGACCATATGTAGGGGTTGTAAATCCCTACAGTGTTGATTATAAGTTTATGTTGCAATGTTGAATGTTGTTTATGTTAAATGAGTAGACGACCAATCTCTTAGATAGTTTTATTGCTACTGAATTAAATTAATTATATAGTTTACAAGGTTCAGAAATGCTGATTACGATGATTTAATTATTCGCGCGTATGACGACAAAGTCAATGTACAGCGTAGCTCGTACAATATGTAAATAATTCATTTCATTAACTTTCGTTTTCATCTTGTTTTAGGCTAAGAAACAACGACTTAATGCCTCCTACATGAGAACTAGCTTGGATCCTAACACTCGACTAAGTAACTGTGTGTAGCATGCTAATGTCTGCGCCCACGCCGAAGAAATAACCAAACAAATACTAAACTAATTGTATCTAAAAAGGAATATGTAGTTTAAACCTAGGGAGCACATTTTATAATAATAAATCTTTTTTGATAAATAATTTCATGGGTTTTTGTAGTACCTAACACAACTACATACAACAGCAATCAATCAATTAATTATAATCTACAGATAGGATCGATTAGTATTACAAACATTTTGATTTTGTATTTTATTACAAATTGAGTTTCTTCCTTGTATTGCTAAGGAGTGAAATTCTTTGCTAGAGTCTATATTTCCCGATGGGCCCGAGTGAATAGGTTGCTTATAAGACGACGTACTCCATCGTAGACCGCATCATCGCTTACCACCCGGCGAAATGTCGGCCTATAAAATATAAAAAAACTGGAGTAATTATTACCAAAATAGTCATAGCATAATCAAAATCAATATCATTAAACGTGATTTCAATCAAGCAATTACCTAACTAAGTACCTCCTAAAATTTAAAGGGACAGTCAAATTAATACCAAATTAAATTACGAATCTCATTTCAAAACGTCAATAGAGAATTTGAATATACATAAATAAAACTGTGTCATTTTAACAAAAAAAAATGTTATTAGCGGAGAAAAAACACATTATGAAAGAACGACCACACCTTTTTAGGTATAATAATATTAATTACCAACCCACAATATTACAAACTTGATACTTTTGTGCGAAACATTACTTTTTTACAATGTGATAAATTACATTACATCCTGGTCTGATATTGATTGGAGTTCGATGATTCGATCATCAATGAAATATAGCATTTGATAAATGTCACCTAAATTATGTAGTCATTTTATGGCCAATTAAGAGTCAGATGATGATGATGATGTCATTTCTTCTATTGTTTAGGAACCATATCATCTACTCTGAATAATGAATGTGACGTTTCTAATTTATATAAATTTTAAAGCCTTAGCTTTATTCTTCGCCGCCTAAAGTGTTTAACCACACACAAGGCGATCCGCCTGATGGTCTGCATCCGATTCTAAAAAAAGATAGGCATATGCGTATATGTACAAATATACAACAAAACACAACCTTATTTTGCTGGATCTAAGGCTGGTTTTAGTGTCGCGCTGACCGTCAGCGCCGACAGCTGAGATGTATGAACTCCTAGGTAGCGTTTTTGAATGACACGTAGCTATCAGCGCGCACGGTTCCAAGAAGTTCATATTTCTTACCTGTCAGCGCTGACGGTCAGCGTGCGATCAACGCGACACTAACACTAAACAGCCTAAAAATCGAAATTTGCACTTGAGACCAGTTAGTCCCTAAAAAAGCAATCAAATTAACTGATGACATCAAAATATTAAATGGTGAATAACTTTGCTAATATGCATATTGATATCAAGACGTTGATTTAGTCATGCCGTCTGTCAGGGCCATAGGTCATCATGGCTTCCCACTTTTTGTTCGTTTGTATAAAACAACAAGTTTTTTGATACATTCTTCACATATGCGGCCATGCTAGTATTTGTATATGTTTGTCTCATTGGTTAAAGAGTACCAAATGCGACTGTTAAGCTAAAGATTAAATTAGGCACGGATCGGATAGACTACGGTTAAGTTTGATGGAAAATATCAAGAGCAAGGAGCTTAGATTTTTATTATTTGGTATATCTACAGATTATATAGACTAACCATATCTAACACCAGAGTGCAGAACTGACATTAATGATCAAACTAGCGATTACAATCACTTTCTACTTCAAATTAAAAGAATAATGCTATATTTGAGTTGGTTAAAATTAAACACAATAACATTCTTGTCAACTTTACAACTTTAACGACTACTAGACTGCAAGACTGATTTTAAGCGTCGTCTGACCTATTTTAAAAATTCCATACTTTAATGAATACCATGCGTACAAGTATAAAGACCAACCTCATTTTTTTATTCGCAATTCGATAATGAAAGACAAAACAATTTCTTTTCTTTTGTTCTCAAATCAATACGGTCCACATCACAAAGAGATACAAATGATCGAAACCAGTGAGAAAGCTATAAGAGAAATATATTCATAAATTAATGATATAATCAGTGAAAGTTAGTTCTTTGTGGTCAATATTGATATGACGTTTACTAATGAAGGTCAAAAGTTCGCTAGCCATAGTCAAGTTTGTCGTCACAGGCGTGTAAGGTTCAATTTACATTGGCAGGGAATTATAGCCAAGTTAAATATTTGCAATAATGATTTTCATTAATTAATTTAATTTTTAAAATTAGTTTTCATTATATTCTGGATCATTTCTGAATTATGAATTCAATTATTAAACAAATTTTATAAACATTTTAAAGTCTAGTTATTTGGTCGGAAAATAGAAGAATTACACTATCAAATGACTAGACTATAAAGAAATTTTCGAGTAGGTGCCTATATAAGCCGGTGCAGAGCCGATGCGGAGCCGGTCCCTGAATGAAACGCACGAACATTTGTAGTAAATAGTTTACAATAGAGTATTAATTATTTTTTTACGGGATAAGCACCATATGAGTAAACGGATCACTTGATGGTAAACAAAATTAGCATTGCCCTTGGACACCCGGAACACCCGAGGCGTTACAAGTGCATTATCGGCCTTTTGGGATTAGGAATTTGAGGATTGTTGGGAATTAAGCGATAAGGAAGGGGGGAGGGGGTAATTGGGCAACGCAAGCGTTATTTCACGTCGGTTTTCTGTGAGGTCGTGGTATCACTCTAGTCGAGCCGGCCCATTTGTGCCGAAGCATGGCTCTCCCACACTTATCTGTCTGTTGTCGATTTTCTACTCCAATTCACTTCTACCTCTAATATCGTTCCGCAACATTATAAACTGAACCTTAGGAACCAGCGAATGATGAGTCATCTGCTTTAATAAAAAAACGCTAATTTTTTACAACAAACTTTAATTTAATAGGCGTGAGATTATTGCAAAAAGGTCAGCTGAGTTAGGCTAGGATTTCATTTCCGTGTTAGTCATCAGTTGATTATAGATATACCTATTACCTAGGTAATAAGTTACCACTATACCTCTTTTTAGGACAAGCCCGCCACAACCTCCCAAAACCGCTGCAACTCCTGTAAGCCAAGATCTACCGTACATACAACCATCATCAACCATGAAATTACCGGAACACTGAAGTCCAGCGCGTCCCAGGGACATAAGTAACTGTCTTGGTTCCCGCAACGAAGTGAATCAGAAGATATTATAAGAGGAGAAGAAAAAACCGATAGTTTCCACTTCCCTCGGTGAATTACTGCAGGAGACAGAATGAATTAAGCCTCAAGGCACAAAAAAGACACTGTACAACTGGGTGAAGCCCAGTCGCCAAGCACCACGGGAATTTGACTAAAAACTAATTGGGTCCTATGTGTGAGCTGTTATGCTTGCTTCCAATAATAGGTATAGGTAGGCCTAAACGCACTATACCTACACTATAGTATATGACCTATTGAAAAATAGTTCAACACATACATACCGTTTACGTCCTATGAATTATAAGACGTATACACCATAGTTTGCCATTTAGCAAGGTCCTTAGATACTTACACAAATGTTAATTAATACATGATTGAGAAAGAGGTGTTTGAATAAAAAACAGAAGCTTAACATGAAATACTTTATTTTTCTTAATCACTAATCAACAAATAATTACAATTTAAATAAATAAACATAAGCATAGACGAAAGTAATCCACGATGCTCATGAAAACTTCACTTAGGTACCTACTCTGAAAAGTGCACATAATCTTTTCTTTGCTAAAGAGGAGAATTTCGTACCTAATGCACAATAACTATAATTACTCGCCCCGAGATTAGAACTCATGATGCTTTGCTTAGTAATCGCGCTTACAATTTTTCGACTAACAATATACGGCAAGGCATAATAATACCGAGAAGCTATCAAAAAAACTAATTATATTTGCGTAGCATGGCAACTATTACGAAATACAAAAGAGTCTATATTATACAACAACTATTTGCAACAAAATAACAAGTGTTCAGATACTCTTTATTACTGAAATATAAAACATTTAAATCTGCAATAACAAAGCGACCCCAGCCAGAGTCCATTTCGCTGGTTTATCCTTTGTCTTCAAGTTGAAGGTCCACACGTAAGTTGGACCTCTGGTACGAGTTTTGTACACTGGACACTCATACATGTTACGGAGATCTTGTTTGTCTTGAGTTATTGCCTGGAATTGTAAAAATTGTATTTTTTTTTTTTATGGAATTAGCCGGTAAACGAGCAGATGGATCACCGATGGGAAGCAATCGGCACCGCACACTCGAAACACCAGAAGTGTTACAAGTGCATTACCGGCCTTTTAGGGGTTAGGGATTTGTGGATTATTAGGCTTTCAGGAATTGGTGAGATTGGGGAGGGGGGTAACTGGGCAATTTTCATCTAGACTATGCGTCTGTTCTACAAAAGAATGTCTGCCATAATCTCCACATTTGACAGCTCGCAAATAATACATTTGAAAGGATCGAATTCATCAAAGAGCGCGGTTGTCCGGTCTCTGTTAAATGTACATACATGCACAATTATTTAGTCGACTCTTACGATACCCAGTACCCACGTGAATAAATAAGGTGGTAATAAATAGGAAAAATAATATGGCAGAGTGAACGGTTGGTGCGGAGGCTGGGCAACCGGCTGCCGTGCATCGTGTCGCGGGTTGGATTCCCTCCCGCACGGAACAACACTTTGTGTGATCTACAAAGTGTGGTTTTGGGATTGGGTGTCATGTGTATGTGAATCTGTATGTATATAAACGCACCTACGACTCAGGAGAAAATCCTAGTGTGTGGGGCAACGTGTTTTTTTTAATAAAAGCATTCGTTGTTAGATACCTAAATATTTTATCACGAGCTCGATTATTTATCATTTGGCACCAGTAGCAATATTAACAGACGAGTTCCTATTGCATTGATTAAAACGTACCATGATAATTATAATAATTTATACAGCTTACCCGAACATTTATAACAGGCATCGGAGGAAACAGGTCTTTAAGCTTAGAGTCCATTATGATGCCAGCTTGCTGGTCCCAGCGAGCTCCTTCCATTAGGAGACCATGAACAAAGGCACCATCGCGTGGTGCTGACCTGGTGTCGGCGATCCTAGAGAAATGCTGGTGTTAGAGAGGTATCTAGAGGAATTGGTTATGGATGATACTTTGATTTTTAGTTCAGTTTTATTCGGAGCCGTTCGGGCCCAGTGCCCATTTGCATGTGTGTTTCATTTTATTTATTCATATATTTTTTCCCTACAATAAATAATATAATAAAAATTTGCATAGGCATATTGTCAGCGTCTCTCTTCTAATTCTTCTGTTTTAAATTTTCAACTCAATGTTTTTATTACTTCCGCTGTCACACCTTTATTGTCTTTTTTATATTTTATTTATGCTGTATCGTGCCTGGTGCTGAATAAATGTTTTTTCTTTCTTTCTTTCAAAAAGGATTTCTTAACTCTGCGTTAAATATTTTATTTTGAGTGCCTTCTTGGTCAATTTGAAATAAATGATTTTGACTTTGACTTTGCGGTCTTTCCAGAGTTATACAAAATGTTTTAAAGATATATATTGCAAATAAGTCAATAAAATTGATTTTATTAGAATTAAAGACCAAAGTATCATCCTATGGTGGTGATAATATGGGAATGAATATATACAAATTACTTAGTCATAAAATTAACTTAATATTATGTACCTATTTACACAAAAGCGTATAATACCTAATGAGTTAGAAGCCTAGTATAATATTTACAAAAAATGTACACGATAAATTATTTAGAATTCTATTAAAGATACCTAGTCATAATACCTACCTAAATATATTTAATTTTCTATTCAAATAAAACATAACATCAAGTACATTGAAAAGCATATTTTACGTTTATCAAGTTACGGAACAACAAGACGTGAATATCAAAACGTAGGGCAGTCCCGTACACCTTTATTATCGCGACACAAAAGCATTTCATTACATTTTTTGAGACGCAAAGCGAAGCATAGAAAGACATCGATAGTTCCAGAAGGGAGATTTTATAAAGCCTATTATATTCTAAAACATATATATACAACAAAGTTAAAGTATTTACATTATAATACCCGTTGTAATAAATACCTTGCCGTAAGAAGAGAAATGCTACCAAAGCGACAGAAGAAGAAAAGGCTTAAAATAGAATACATTATGTTTTAGAGAGATTCTCACAAACTGTACATTAATATAAAAGTACTCATGTGCTTCTCATATAGTCATGCGTGTTCTGTTTAATATTATTATAATCAGCCAATTGTTTTTGTACAATATGCAAGAAAGGCATTGAATTTAAAATGTACTTAGTATTCCAATTCAAAGAGCGTTGTTACTCACCAGTACCTATGAAAAGTAGAAAATGATGAAGATATGTATATAATATTAAATTATGGATACTATTCATAACAATAAAAATGTAAAACACAGCCTTGCCTTGTGTGAGATTATAAAAGACAACCCAAATCATTCCATGAATTAAATCGAAAATTTTGTGATTAAAATAGAAATCCGAATGTGTATACCAAACGTGCCACAATCCAAAATTAATCGTCCACAGATTTATTTGTAAAGAAAAATATTTTTTTTAATGACAAAAACAATTTGAAATCAATTTTAAAACATCATTTTACCATATTTTTACTCTAAATAAATACTTACGTGAATTCTTCTTTCATCTTCTTGGTGACGTCACACTGCAAGCACATCTTGTCAAGAGGTAGTTCATACTTGCGCGCTGTACTCTGCATGATGGCAGTCAGTAAGCTTTGAGGGTTGAAGAAACCACCCAACCATACTGATGCTGGTAGCTAAACGAAGAAAAATATTATAATATTCTTCAAGGCCCGAGTGAATAGGTTGCTTATGGGCAGACGTGCTTCCATCGTAGGCTGCATCATCGCTTACCACGAGGCGAGATAGTGGTCAAACGTCTGCCCATTAAACATAAAAAAAATATATTAGATTTTTACGGTCCAATAAAAAAGTTTTAATACTAGGCTTGCTTTTACCACCCTTAACTCGAGTTACATAACATACCTTCTTCTATTTACCCTATCAAATGTCATCACATCATTCCTTTCTCTCTTTCATATCGTTTCCCACACACATACCAATTATCTAGCTTTCGTTTCTGGAAGGTTTCAACACTTCTATGTCAGTAATCGTTTTAAGATCATGTAGCAACTGATACCTATGGCCTTTCCTATATATTACATGTGATTTACAATGAAACTGCATTTAAAATAAATGAATTATCGGAACTTACCACAAAGTCTGTAGCCCACGTTTCTAGTTCTCGTAGTCTTAGCGTGAGGTCCACGAACCAGGCAGAGAGACCTAGCAACGATGGATACGCACGACTAGACCAAATCGCTGGCACCTGATAAATAAACCAATATTTATATCTACTTCTGTAAATGGTTCTTCGTTCCACAAAATAAGTATGCAATGAATGATGAAATCAACGTTAGTACCAACATTTATTTTTGTTTTTCTTTCAACTTACCTGGTCTAAGAACAAAGCATTTTCCAAATCTTCCATATCCGATGTGATAGTTAATTCACCCTAAAATTCAGAAAAGATATAATTATTATTATTTTTTTTTTTATTTTATTTTTTAGTCCGTCAGTGGAATAAAGCCTTTAATCTTACACTTCTTATTGAAATAAATAATGAATAAATAAATTATTAAATCATTTTTAACCCTATTGATGAGATAGAAATGTTTTGAAGAATTGTAATCTTTACTCTACAAAAGCTGTGAGTAGAAGTAAGTATCAGATTTTTTACCTTAAGTCCCAAGTCCAATTCTCTAAGCGACCTCTTCATCTCTCCCGTAAGATAGTTCATCCGCTCACACTCCTGGAATGCCACTATCACGTACGGCGTCCTCTCCTCAACCTTCCCCATTATTTCCGTCATGTTAAACTCTTCTGGCAACTTCTCTATTATCTCGTCTAACATTTGTTTTACCTGTATGATAAAAATACAAAGTTATAGATTGAATCCCTGAAACGTGTCGTCCTATGTCATCGAAGGCTAAACATAAAGTAAGCGTAAAGCTGAAGGAAATCATCATTACTCTACCACCATAAACATAACGTAAGCTGATGGAAATCATCATTTCTCATTTACAAAAACATCTATCTTTTTCTTCTAAGGTGAGAAACCATTCCTTCCTCGTCAAATAATTACGCGAGTAAGCCGAAAACATAATAATTTAGTGATTTAATTTCTTTATTCGTACACTAAACAGTTTTCCTTTTTATTCAACTGGAACGGGAATCCAAATAATGATAAAACACTATCATGGCATATGAGTTACCTACGTGTCAATAGGTATCGAAACACCTAACAAGAGCATAGAACGTCCAGCAGAGTGGCCAAGTGCCATTTAGCACTTGTCAACATGTAGAATAGAAAATTATATGGAATTGACGTAAATTTTAACACTTATCAGTGTCATCCCCATACATTTAGTTTTCTACTCTCTCTGTGGACAAGCGCTAAAGTGGCGTTTGGCTAAGGGCACTGCTCATAAGTAGCAGTCACAGACAAGCTCCGTGGCACTTCATATGGAACAAAAGATCACCATAATAAAACTAAAAAAATGATTGACAAAATCAAGCGAAAACATACCTTATCCTCTCTAGTAACGGTAGCTGCACCAGAAGCTTGAGCATCTCTTGGCTGCATCTCAAATATAGTTCTAAATAGATTTTCAGAAGTAGTCGTGAGGAACCCGATCTCAGCGTTAGGATGTAAGCCGTAGAGGTAGGGAGATTCTGCTGGCATGGCATCTTCTATGTACTGGTGATAGCCCACGTAGTCTGTGTTCGGAGGAGCTGGGAACCCTGGAGCTAGTTGGAGCTCGCCATCGACCTGTTTATAAGGATGTTATGTAGATAGCACTGAATGCTATTTTATCGTAACATTGTCTCTCTGATCTAGTTTATTATGACAGCACTATAATAATATATTTTCGGCAGAAAGCTAAAAATGAGGTTTTAAGATATATTTTTTCGTGAAGGAAAGTAGCCATTTTTATGATTTTTAGTGTGAGTAAATACATCATTAAAATACCTCTACTTAGAAAACTGCGCATGAACATTTACAACATAAAGAAGAATAACATAACACAGTTTTCATCTACATGAACCTGTCTCAAGTTGAATGAACATAAAGAAGTCATTACGAATCCTACCGTCATCGTATCATAATATCACTTACTAGATCAGGCTGCATCAATTCCTCCAAGTACGCATTGCAGAGTCTTCTATCCCAATCGTCAGTAATATGTCCTCCATACATAATCTCTCCGAATAAGTACCTAAGATCCTCCCAAGGTACTCTCGCATTCGCTTCCAGATAATTGTACAAGACGAATACGCTTATTGTCAAATCACCTTAAACGAAAAGAAACCTCTTTACCAAGTTATTTCATCATTCTACTAAGTCTATGTGTTAGAAAAACAGACAAATAAATCATCATTGTCGTAAAATGTAAGAATAAAAGTACTTATGAGAGAGAAATAAACACCGTGCTCCAGACAACTATACAGTGGCTAGAAGGGAACAACCTAAAAGTTAATATAGATAAAACTAAATTCATTCAGTTTCATACCTACAGGAATAAACCCGCCGAATTAAATGTGATGTATAAAGGGATAGCTCTGTCAGAAGTTGAGTCAGTGAAATTTCTTGGGATTACACTGGACAGGTTCTGCTCTTGGAAGAATCAAGTGCAAGATGTTTGTGGTAAAATTAATAGTTTTGTTTATCCCTTGAGACGTATCAGCCGTGAAATATCGAGAGAGGCTGCAATGACTGCGTATCACGGATACATATCCTCCATATTGCGATATGGGGTTATTCTTTGGGGTCGATGTGTTGAGATAGAACAAGCATTTATAATGCAAAAAAAGTGTATTAGAGCGATATTCGGGTTGAAGCAAATAGATTCCTGTCGCCCGTTCTTTAGAAAATACAAAATTTTAACCTTGCCTTGCCTCTACATATTAGAGTCGTGTATATTTGTTTTTAAGCATAAGCGACTATTTGAGAATCCGGCAAGTTATTACGCTCCACGGTCTCACAATGCCAACAAATTATATCGACCTAAAACAAATCTCACACTCACATCAAATAACAGTTACATTATGTGCATTAAATTATATAACAAAGTTCCAAATTCCATTAAGGCACTACCTTTTCATAAATTTAAACGAGGTTTAATAAACCTGCTAATTGACAAATGTTTTTACAGTGTGCTTGAGTATTTAGATTATAAATTGTAATATTTAATGGTTTGTGAATTGTAATGTAATCTATTTATAATATGTGTGACATTCCTGTAAAATTGACATTTATAGAATATTGTGTGTGACATTTATGACATTTTGTATTAATTTTGTGACATTTTCTATTTTATAAAATTCACTTCTATTCGTAATTTTCTTTGAGATAGCAGTATAATAAAATTTTGACAAGTCTGTAAAGTACCTACATTATTTTTGCACGCCGATGTTGAAGGCAAAATAAGAGGACGTACCTATGTTATTAGAAAATGACAACTATCTGTACCTTATTTACGCAAATAAATAATTTTGATTTGATTTGATTTGACTTGAATTACAACAGGCTGAAGCAAAGCTTGGGTGGTGTTAGCGTTTGAAAAAGTACTTACCAACATTAAAAGGATAAATCTTGTTCCAGCCCTGTGGCCCAAACTTGCGTCTCTCAGCGACCACGGCGTGGAAGTAACAGAGAGCGAACAGTATCGCTTTAAACTCAGCCTCCTTGCCACACATCTCTAAAGTCTCTTGGTTAAAATTGTCTAGAGCTTTGTGAATGTTAGCCTGAAATATAAAATAATATAATTTAATTTTTCTATGACTAATAGAATTAGGATTTTAAAACTTCCCCAATCCCTTAGTCAGGTTTATTTAATGTCCACAGAAATAGTAACACCGATACTCTAAAGTATTCGGTGACGTTCGTATATTAAGGTTAATGAAGCATAATACTTGCGTTTACATAATCTACAAACCTGCATGCCAGTAGGCGGTTCATTAGTGATTTTAATACTGGACTCCAGTATACCCTGAGGTATGATATGAGCTGCAGGAGTGGCTGCTGGTTCAGCTGACATGAATAGACGGAAATCATCATGACAACCATTTGCAAAGCTCTCCATCTTCTTTTCCAGACTTGGCAGCCATTTCTTTACTAAATGGATGTTCTGGAAGAAAAGTTAAAGTGAGAAATGATAATATAATGATAATTATATAATTAACCATAAGATTTAATGTCGTACATAATTTCGAACAGCTTATATTGGATGAAGCTAGTCAATGGGAGATCAACATGACAAAATAAATGTATGTACCTAATAACGAAATTCATTCAAAGTATATTCTACCTGTAACACCACCCAGTGTCCTTTCTGCAAGCCTATATCCATCGCCTGTTCAGCCACTATCTCCTGCCCCTGACCCAAAGACACGTTATGGAAGTTCCCATTATCGGCTGTGAACCCCATGATCTTCCCCAAAGCTTCCACGTCCTTCAACGGATTTACACCAGGAGATAGAATGAAGAATATCGGTGTAGTCGGACTGGTCTCTTCAAACGATTTACTAAACTCCACTGTCCTATTTTCAACATATTTAGCGCCCATTTTTTCCTCTATGTATGCTCTAAAAATAATGAAATTGGTAAGGCTATTGCTTTCCAAGGAGTTTTGAGATTTTGTTTTGTGTGTGATATACTTACGCTACAGCATACGTCATTCTGTCTGGTCTTAATGCTCTTAGCATGCAAAGACGCTGAAGAGCTGGTTTATTTTTCCATTCCTGAAATGAATTTATAATATAACTCCTATTAAAAACTCATCTATTTTAAAAACCATTAGATTTAAAGAATCTATACTATAACACTCGTCTAAATAAAAAAAAATACGAGAAATAAGTAAAGGTATTCTTCGTGTCATACTAAAACTTGCGGATGATAAAGTATCCTTATAGTCTCAATTAGATACTCTTCATTAACCAAAATGAAGTAGTCATACCTGAGGAAACTTCTCCCGCTCAGGACATTCTACTTCAACAATCTTCTTCCACCGTTTAGGTGACGTCTCAATATCTCTATCCAAGTTCCTGAACTCTTCTTTACCAGCCAGAGAGCAGATACCACCCCAGCTGTGGTTTGATAAGAAGTCTACTGGACTAGTCACATGAGGCTTTATAGGAAACCGGAGAAAGAAGTCTAATTCCACTGATGATACTTCTTCACTCATGAGAAGTACCTAGAATGGTAAAAAAAACATGTCTAATAAAATCTAAGGTGTGTTTTATATCATGACTGATGGTGATTTGATAACTTTTTCTACGATATTCGAAATTTATTGATGACTTCATTGCTTACCTGAAAGGTCATCTGTGATGCAAATATAAGTTTATCACATTCAAACAATCCACGAGAAGTGTACTGATACACTGAAAAACTGATGCAATCAATAAGGTTTTTGATTCTAGGACCAAGTTCATCTGCAGGCTCCGCACGAGATATCGCCTTTTGGAATACTACGCTAAATGCCTAAAAAGGATAATACATTAGTGAATCATACAATTTTTTATTGATAGCCTAGTTTCTATAGACTGATAGAAATTAATTGTACCTTAAGAGAGAACTGGTAGATAGGGTTGATTGTATTAAGATCGTTCAGAATGAAGTACAATAACGACGCTCTTGCTGAGGCCGGTCTGTAGAATTCACGAGCCACATCAATCTCTCGGGAAGTTATTTTTGCTTCGGCCACCTAAGATAATTAGAGTAACGTTTAAGAAATATAATACATACCGAAAATAGGATAAACACAAAGATTAAGTCAATTGTTTAACAGAAGAAGAGAATGAGGAGGTTTAATCGAAGTCACCATCGAAAGAATATACAGGGTGACTCGTAACTCGACCTATTCCTCTTGAAATGTGATAATATATATGTAATTTCCTACAAAATTAGTCCTGATGTTCTTATTCCCAAAGTGGCTAGTTATCGAGATATTCAATATTTTTGGTTTAAGTCAAAAATCCCGAACTACCTACAAAAACTTCAATAAATAAAAACCTGCTGGTTTAATCTAAATTATCTTTTTATCAGTACATTACATCAATAAACATTAATTTAATAATACTTAATACTGGCAGAGATATCATTCATTTTAAAGACAAGTAAATTTTCATCAATTTTTATTTTGAGGTTATAAAACATCACGCTACGATTGCTAGGAGTCGAGCAGTGGGTGAAATTGTGCGGGCGTAGATAGTAAAATACGTATAAGATTTATGACCACAATATAATTTGTTTTCTTTTATTAATCCAATAATCCTGATCCTGTCTATCGGCTTATATTGATAAATTATCTTAATACTTGGTAATTGTGTTAGTCGGTAATTAAGGTTACTTTTTTTCTTATTTTAATGATTACTGACCGTTTAAATTGATATTAGTGTGTCATGGTGTCATGTATCGTCCTTGAATTAATCCTTTCTTAAATATCGTAACGCTTTTCCCAATACATAATGTACCTAATGTCGATTTTTTAAAGTAAATCTAATTTTCTATTAACCAAATGACTCAAAACAAAAGATAATGCCAGTATTCGTATCAATAAATGTTTAACGATGTATTGATAACTGATAAAAACTAAAACAATTTAAGTGAGGCCTATTTTCGCAATAAACCCACTATATATATATAGCACGGGGGCAGAAAATCAAACCAGTAGTTTTATATTCATTGATGTGTTTGTAGTAGTTCGGGATTTTTGACCAAAACCAAAAATATTGACTATTTCGATAACTAGCCATTTTGGTACTAGATACCACCACGGAACCATAGGGCAAATTTTGTAAGAAATTATTTGTATTATCACCTCCTTAGAGTAATACATTGAGTTAAAAGTATACACTATACGAAGTAGGTTTTACTAAACCAAAAAGTATTTTACTAATGCGATAAATTGTGATAGTTTGTCAAAATAATCTTACCTTTTTCTCAATATCAGCAGCAGTCTTCTTAGTAGTCTCCAAGTTCTCTACTAAAGCCGTATCACCAAGTATATCATCACCAGCTGAAGATAACCTTGATAGTAAATCATCTTCTAGCGACTTCAACTGGATCTTAAACTGATTCTGCTGTTTAGTTAGTTCTGCTTTCAAATCTTCTAAATCTGGTCTTTCTGCTTTTACTACTTCTGCTAGCAATTGGTCTTCTAAACCATCACGAGTTACCGTGAAGTTGACTAGAGTCGTTTGAGCTTGCATCTCAGGCTTATAATGTGGGTTAGCCAATTTTGTATGTAGAATTAGTCTGAAGTTCGGACTGTATTCAACTTCTTTGTCTCCTATTTTAATTGCTCTGTAAGTTAAGAAATCAATAAGTGTTTGATGAACGTACAATAAACAGAAAATTGTCGGTCATGTGTATGTAATGTTACGTGCGATTTACAGCCGAAATTTATTACATATCTCATTGCAAAATCTGTTGATAACAATCGATTTTTGACATTAACTCCATTCAACTAAAGTCAAAAATCAATATATCAAGATAATTGGTTTATTTTGGTTGCTAAAAGTGATGAAAGGTTACAAAACAGAAAATATTGAACAATATGATAATGAAGATAACAAGTAATTAGTCAATTAAGGAAACTGCAAAGAATTGTATGGGTAAAATAAAATAGCTGTAGCTAGTAGAAGGAGTTAAATAACATATTAAGTTCCCACCTTCCTTTCTTGATCAGGGTTCTTCCCAACAATGGATCAAGGACAGGATCCACGGTCTCACCAATGTTTTCAAACAGGACAGTCTCTCCCTTTATTATCGCTTTCTCAATTGTGTCTAAATAACCTCTTTGTCCTAATCTAATCACTCGTAACTTGTCTCCGTACTTTTGTTTTATCCATTTCACACCTTGTAACTAAAAGTTAATAGATAAAAACAGATATAAAGTCGATAAATGAATCTTGAATGACGATTATAATTGTACTTTTTGTAAAAGTAAAAATTCTGCTTTGTAAAAGTAAAAAAAGTAAAATATATGAAATGATTGAAAATCATTGAAGACATTTGGTATTATTTACGTTAATTTTGAAATAATTTAATTCCAAATGCTTAATAGTTACTTGTTATTAATAAAATTGAAAACTTTATTTAGAAATCGAGATAGATATAAGATCGATATTATATATAATTATACTTACTTGAGGGTCTATCATAAGCGGCCACCGATCAGAATTAGAAAGAATTGTGGCGTTCTCAGTACTCATGCGATCAGAAGGTAATCCTTCATTCTGCCACATTGCTATTGTGGTATCATCTGTTAACATTGTCAGTGGATCCAGACCTTCTGTTATTGGGATAGGCGGCTAAAATGTGAAAGTAAAATTAAAACTACGAAGAACAAGATAAAATATATTAATGTAAGAAGACTTGATTAAATATATTAGTCAATTTATTCAAAGTTAATAATCAATTTATTAAAAGGCAATAAACAAAATATAAAATCGTAACAAATTCAATAATACTTATGCAAAGTTTTTGCTTATACATACCTCTAAGGTCTTCAAGAAGACCAGCCAGTTTTTGTGCATCAAATCTAATCTGAACTGCTTGGTGAAACATCCCACGTATGAAATGAAAGCACAGACTAGTAAGACATCTCCTGGTAGAGTTGTGCCTTGTTGCATGAGACTGAAAATTAAAAAGTCATTAAGAACTTTTACCTCAGAGAAGGAATGAGCATTAACTTCTTATTTGTCGATATATGAGACACAATAAAAACACATTGTCTCGCGTAGATCTGCATTCCGACAGATAAGAGGTTCACCATGCTTGCTCAAGGCTCCAAAATAGTAATAACATAATGGCGGTTAAAAATTTCGCGAACAAAATAATTAATATAGTTTTAGTTCTTTAGAAGATTTGCAAATAATTATTTATTTACCTAGAAACAGCTTCAGCCCATCTGACATTTTCACTAGCGAGACCGTTAACCAATCTGTTAGCGAGCTGAATGGTTGCATTCGTTGCGTCTGCTTCTTTCTGACATTTCATCTTCTCTGAAGTTGCTTTCTCAAAATCTGCTGTCAGTGTTGCTAATTTCTCTTCAAGGGACTAAGAAAGGAGAGAATACATCATTTTGTAATTTCAAATAGTGCGATACAAAATGATATTACAGTTTACAGTTTGCACAATACTTACGGCAACTTTGGCTTTAATAGATCTCAATTTTTCAGTAGCAGCTGCCAACTCTGCATTAGCAGCCGCAAGAGCTTTTCTTTTGGGCTCAACATCACAGAACACTTCATAAAACTTTATAATGTTGATGACCCAAGCGCAAAGACCAGCAGCTGCAGCCGATTTTGATCTTACAAACTCTAAAAATAAAGTAAAAAATTGTGTCTAGTTTCGTTAAGGACCTAATTTAAATAAAGTATTTGTGTACGTGAAATATACCTGGTTCAAATTCAGAGTCCTTCAAGTAAGGCTGAATAGCTTTTATGACATCAGGATGGATGTTTTCTTTGTCATAATTTATAAGGCACTCAAGGAACACGTCCACTTTTGCCATGACCACCTGCAGAAGGTTAGAATATAGAACCAACAAGTTTACAAAATGAAATACAAGTACTTAATCCAACAAAATTGATTTTAACTGTAGGTCAGTCCGGAGAGCTTAATCAAGTAAATATTTTTCAACTAAGCAGTTATTATAATTAGTGGTGAGAAACAGAAAGGAGAATTAAACGTTACAAATACATAGAACTACTTTTCTTACAAAGTCAGTTTATCACTAAGACCACATATGCATACAGTCACATGTCACATTCCTCATAATCATACACACCTTAGCAGCCTTCCAGCTCCTATCCTTAGGTATTTTTCCTCCAGGAGCAAGTAACACCATTACAGCTGCAGTGACATTAGTCACGGCTCCAGGCGGTGAACCAAAAGACTTCAACTCAGTAAGGTTAGCTTTATTCAAAGTGTTCAAAGCTTCCTGAGCTGCTACTAGCGCTGGTTCTGCTTTTATCAAGTCTTCCTCACAATCTTTCTGCTTCTTAGATACCTCTTCAGCTATCACTGCTACTTTCTCTTCCTCCTCGTCCGCTAAAAAGATCATTACATTATTTTAAAATGAGCTCCTGTCCTATAACTCAGGTATTGCATCAAGTTAACCCAAACTGTTAAATATTTGTAGAAGATTGTCAACTTTACTGATGACATAACTAAGGTTCAAATCTGCTAAACAAAATAGTTCAGTTTGGACAGCTCGACGTGCTGCGGTGTCGTATTTTATCAAAATGTTGAAATCTTACCAAGTGCCTTCTCGCTCTGTACTTTAGCAGTTTCAACGCCGACCATTTCAATAAGTTTGTCAGCTGCTTCATTCTTTTGATGTAGCTCTATTTCTTGTACTGCTAACTTTTCCTTTAGTGCGTCTACTTGGCATGATGTACTGCGAAGCTTCTCGAGACCATTTTCCAATCTATGAAAACAAAATGAGTTGAATGTAATAACAAACATATTTTCTTTTACAGAAAATTAAAATGATTGAAAGCAATATTTCAAGACTCAATGGCGTACTACTGGAGCCGCCTATTTTCATAACGAAACTAATAATAAAGATGAGAAAGTGAAACAGGGAACTATAAAAAGGAAGATGACCCAATTTTAGAATAACTATATTCGTTTGTAACTTACCTAACAATTTTTGCGCGTAGTTCATCAGTTTTATTATTAACCAGTTTAGCATACAAGCTGATTTGTTCGAGGTAACTCTTGGGTGTCGTGTAGTTATACCTCCTCTCATTAGCTAAGTATGCTTTAGACATGGTATTCACTGAAGTGTGGACGTACGCCATGAATCTGGATATTGAGTCTCGGAGCGTTACCTACAGAGAAAATTCAAAATGGTAAAGAGAGAGAGATCAAATTTTTTAACAAACTGATAATGAAATCACGAAAAGTAATTAAATAATACAAATTAATGTGAAAGAATTCAGAATTCTATGATCCCAAAGAAGGAGATGAAGACAGTTAAATAGCGTAAATTTCCATAACAAAGCACTTAAACCATTGCCAAATATTGATTGAATAATTGAAACATTGAAATCTTGAACAAACTCAATGATTGAACTAATAAGAATAAATATTTTAAACTTCAGCATCTATGAACCACAGGACACTGGCATAAAGTATTATTTTTAAAAGTGAACACTGTAATGTAGTTTCAATAATTACCGGCAGATTATCGAGTTCCTCCAAGAACCTCATGGCAACAGACACCAAAGCTTCCTGCGGCCACTCGTGGAACCAGTTGATAGACGTACAATTGATCAACGCGGGGAACTTTCTAGATCGCACCCTCAAAGTGGAGCCCACAGGAGAGAAACAAAGAACCACTTTCAATTGTTTACGAACTCTGTCTATAAAGAATTTCCAGCACGTTTCTCTTGTGTCTGGTAAGCCTGCACCTTTTACCTAGACGGAAAGAAATTTCTAGAATATATGTATGTCTTACTTATCGCTTTACACATTAATTACCAGTCAACTAAAACTGTTATTTTTTATTCTGCTATTATAGTATACTGCACGGTTGGTGCGGTGGCTGGCACCGGCTGTCGTGCAACGTATCGCGGGTTCGATTCCCGCACGGAACAACACTTTGTGTGATCCACAAATTGTTGTTTCGGGTCTGGGTGTCATTGTGTATGTGAACTTATATGTTTGTAAACGCACCCACGACACCAGGGAAGATCCTAAAGTGGGGCAATGTTTTATAAAAAAGAAAAAGTATAAGACTCGAAAAATGTACGTTGGCCTTTACAATGGGTATTCAATTTGTCTACCTACTCTTCATGCAACGTAAAAACAAATGACACAAGCAATACTGTATCACGTACCTACTACTCGATTAAAAAATATATTGTTTTTTATGCGATTCTTGGCATATATAAATATTTAAAAAAAAACAGTATATATATATATAAGACCTGTATAATGTACAAACTAGTGATCCACAATAAAGAAATTTGAATTTGAAGATTTAAAAAACTTACCTCATTCCTCACACCAGCAATAATATTTTCCATCTCATCATCAGGGAATAAATCAGCTACTTCACCAGATGCCAGCAAATCATTGATGAGAACCAAGAACTGTTCATTGGCTACTTGAGCGTCCGTCATCAAGAACATTATGCCAACGTTCTTCAGACCAGTTTTTATGTATAATTGAGATAGTTCATTCTAAAAATTAATGTCATAATTTGAAATAAAACAGTGACTTCAAGTCCCATGGTGGGCGTCAAAAATGAAAAATAGTGGACAAGGAAAATGTCAGAGATGCGTAAAGCCCCACGTTGGGCGCCAGAATGGAGACAGTAAAGAATGTGCAAGCAGCAACACCGATGCGAGCGCCAACGCCAGCCAGTGAGCTGCGCGACATCGCCGCGACTGCGCACGCTGCTTATGAGGAAGAACCCCTCTGTGGTTCGAAACTAGTAGAGCTTATCTCAGTATATTCACGTGAGTAACCCGCGATTTTAGTTAATTTAGTGAAGATTGTTTTGAAAATAGTATTTTTTGTCTACCAATTAAACTGGTTAACGTTAAGTAGTATTCAACTACAAGTAAGCTATTCGTTTCTTCGGCCTAAGTAAGTATAAAACATCAAAGCCATAAGTCAATTACTACAACCACCGAACACAACTTTAGTCTACTGTTATTTTTCTTACCTTCAAATCTGAGACTCCATATCCCTTTTTCAGCTGTATTTGTAACACTTCCAAACTGGATATGAAAGCTGCTAGTCGAGACAGTGACTGTTTACCAGAACCACCTACACCAACCAGTAATGCACTACCTCTAGGACTTTCAAGGATACGAGAAATTCTGAAAAGAAAATCAATTTACATGATTGAAAAATTATGGGAGTCGTAGAAATTTTGATAAAACATTAGTATCTGCAACGATATATATTTTACACAAAGTATAAAAATTTGATGTAACGGTATTTAAACGAATTATTAGAACCTGTTCTCGGAATCTCAATCTCCATTTTAAAAGAACAACAAAAATAGCTAGACTCTACCTGCAAATATGCATCATAGCATCCTCAAACAGCACCAAGTTCATAGCAGCGATGAGATCGTTGTAGCTCGCCATGGCTTCAGTCAGCAACTTGTTCAGCTGTTCCCATGATAATATGGGCATGTACTTCGGCTCACCAATACCGCCAGCGAAATGGCAGTAGATGTTCGGTCGTTCGAATACTACGCCTTCGTCAATGTCCTATAAAGAATATTAAATGGTAATGTATTATAGGAACTATTTTTTTAAGGGGGAAAATCATTGTATGACTGCTCCCACCTGGGTGAGGTGGGAGGGAGTGTCTGACTCTTACTGACTAAAAACCACCCCATTCCTACTCCTGCACTTCGAGCCGGAGCCCCGGTAACCTGATAGGTTCTCCGCGACTCCGTATCGGCATCAGCCCTATTGGGCCCTATCCATGGTGGTCTGATGGCTCTTTGAGGCGCGCGCGGAACTCGACGCGCCATACGCTCGGGTATTATAGGAACTATGGCGTTTTATTTTGTCCAGTGAAACTTTTACACATTTCTTGATGAATAAGCTATTAAAATGCAAAGTGCTTTTAACTCGATTGTTTTAAAATTGCCAATGAAGGCAACCTTCAGTGAAGTAAATTTAAAAGCTCAATTTGAACTAAAAGTAATTAGCTTTGGGTGATAAAAAAGATCATAGCAGGCATGTATGAAATATGAAATTGACTAAACTATTGACTAACAGAGTAGGAAGCTTTCTAATCGTGGAACACTACACAGGTACAGCAGGAGGTGTTGAAAAAATATAAAAAATGTAGGGAGGAACCCTACATTTATAATATTTTATCAACACAAGCAACCATAACATAAAAAATGTTACCTCAAAATTCTTCTTACAGATATCAACTTGAACTTTGAGGAAAGCATCGATATCTTTTTCTTCAGTCAGCTTATCGCCGTACACACGACTTGTCTCATGCAGCCACAACCGTAGTATGTCTGACGTATTCTCTATACATTCATTTGTACTGAACAGGAAACCCTGAAAATTGTTAGCGGTTTCATTTAAATCATTGTATAGGGATAAGTGAACCTTCATTATATCCAAGTAGGTTGATATAAATTGTGGTATGAGTTTTCATTGTGAACATTTGAACACTAAGACGTTCATGAAATGACGATATGAACCCAAGACGATGCATTAAATAGACCAATAACGAAAAATTAAAATGAATAAAATAAGTTTACCTGGAAGACATTAGATAGATCCCGAAGGTTAAATATGTAGTGGAATTTGATTGCCGTCGGTAAGAACACTTGAGATATTTTGTTGTGTAAAGTAATTGTAGCCTGCACCACATTCGCTGAAAATTATACATCATATTAAACACATATTCAAAATGAAATGTTCAAACACTATGCCTTTATCATTATCTGAGGAAAACATTCATCACCATCCGTACTGATCTTCATTCCCATCAATATTCATAATTCTCACTTCATACATTAAGTTTGATGCTTTTTCTTCCAATTATTTATTTTCCATCGACTCATTTAATCAAGTTTATCAAAAGTAAAAAGATATGGAAAACTGATTTTACTTACTCGACAATTTTGCTATCTGCGGATTGATCCTCAACTCCGGATTGATAAGATGCTGACTCAAGATCGAATGGTAGATGTTATTCAGAGCTTCAGTATTGGGAAAACTGATAGCAAACACGCAGAAATGTCTTTGCAACCTTGGGTTTATAGTGAAACTGCCTGAAGTGGGGTTCATGCAAGACACGTATTGGGTGTTGTGGATATCTTTCAAGGATAATTTGGTACGATCATACCAATGCCCATAGTCCATATGTTGACGGATAATCGTATGGGGTTGCACCGTACCATAAGCATCTACTTCAGGCATATTCATGTCATCTATGAAGTATACTAGAGTCTTATTCCCCGGTGGACCATAATTCCTACCAGCTTTTTTCTCTAAAGGTTTCTCTAGAATCTTCTGCAACATCTCTGATGACGTGTAGAAATTGAATGGCACTGATTGTATTGCGTAGGCTTCTGATAATCTGTTGGAAGAAAATTGCTATTTACAAACTCGCTTTTATCCTCCGAAGTTCAGGAACTCATAGAGTAAATATTACTATCATAAAAACTCTGTAACTTTTTGCATAATTGGGTAAATCCATCAAATTCCTTACCCTTGTAACTTTTCATTGACAAGAACAGTCTTGCCAGAACCAGCGCTTCCCACTAACATTACTGGGTGCTTATTCTTCATCAGCAAGTCTAAGAAAAACCGAACTCTTATAGTTTCCGCTGTTGGCACCAAAACGGCCTAGAATAATAAAAAAACAGCTTGTAAGAACAAGTAGGGGTGGTATTTGTATGGATTAGAATTCCGTACTACGTGCTCTTGGTCTTTTTCAAAAATAGGCTTACCTGCAAAGGAACATCAGTGTCCAGTTCAAACTTTGGAATCTTCTCCGTCCAGGGAGTGAACTGCTTTGTATCATGGTCTATGTAGTAATCAAATACTGTACCACCAGGCGGAAATTTCACAGTTTTGAATTCATTATTCCACCATTTTGAAAATTCTATAAACGAAATTAAAAACGTAAAAGACACGAGCAATGGGAATGTAGCAATAGAAGATACGATTTCAAATCATTAACTAAACTCTATATAGTCACATCCTCACACCAATAGCTACAAAATAAAAAAAATCCGCGCTCATAAGTCAAGGTTATAATTAAGAGATAATAGAAATTCATAAAAGAACTTAATACTCTAAATAGTATAGTCATACTAACCAATTCTATAATCAACACTGCCCTCATGGAACATAGCAGATCCAAAGGCCCAAACACAAGCGAAAACAAAGAAGATATCATGCCATTCCTTTGGACATTCAGCCGGTGTATTCTCCGGTACAAATAGGCAGTTCAGGAGGTGACAAAGCATCTGTACATGAGCCATGTCCACTATAGGAGTAATCTTCTTGAAGCGGGTCCTCACTGTCTCTAAACAAGATGGAATATATTTGTCAAAGAGGACGACGAGATTGGACTTCTCTGCTGGTATTTTTCTTGTTTCTACCCAACTTGTTACGTATCTGAAAACCGTTAAAGATATTAAAAAGTGATGATGACAGGGCAGTATGTTCACAAAGAACTATTAAAAATCTATTGAAGTACGCAAAAATTTAGACATGTTTACTGTGAGTGTTTATGAAAGTAAACTTACGGATTCCATCCTAAATCCTGTGCATTGATGTATAGAATACCAGCCCTAGATACCGTAGCCGGAGTGGCAGTACGTAAATTAGAAATCTCAAACATCAGCCTCATTACAGGAGTCAAAGCAATACGCTCATTGCTAGCAAGTGTCAAGATCTTATTGTCATCCATCACAGTGTTCAAAGATTCAATCCACATAGGATCAATGTCTCCATCAAGTAATATCCATTTTGGATTATCTCCAGCCAAATTGGCTTGATCCCTCATAATTACAGAGAGTAAACCATCCTTCCATTCTCTAGTAGCTGGATTTATAATACCAAACAATTCATCATTAGTCACTGCTTTAGGATTTAAATCGTTATATATAGGTTTTTTCCTAACATTCTGGTAAGTTTTGAATAGAGTTTTCCATACTTGAGTCTTTCCTGTACCAGCATTACCGACTATGAAGACCGAATGACGAACTTCGAGTAATTCTTCCAACTGAACCACTTTTAGAATGAAGTTGTCTTCTGGTTGTAAAGAAAGGTCCATTGCTGCCTGTTTAACTGTCCGTTCAAATTCCAGGTCTCGTTTTCTTGGTACTTCTAGAGCGGGGAACAAATCTCCTATAAGTCCCATGAATACTGGCATGTCGTCTGTTACTATTTTTGGTATGTTAAAATCACGGAGAGTTCTCATGAGTACTTCTTCTTCAGGTCTTCCTGGATCACCTCTCTAACGAATTCAAATAAACGATTAATTTAAACAGAAATATATATCTTAACTGCCTTAAAATAAGACTTTCTTTCCAGTAACACCTTACCTTTAAAGACCCAGCAACAACCAGCACAGACTTAATAGCCCTCAATCCCCAATCATAATGATCCTGCTTTGACAGTAACTCCTTACACAGAGTATACAATGTGATGAACTTTCTAGCCAAGATCTTCGCTTCCTGGAACCCTTCAGCCACCAACATGATCTCGCAAATAAGTTCAAAGTCTGGAACGACCATAGCACATGGTCTGAACAAAGCCTTTAGATTCTCAGGCAATTCTGTACGACCGGCGTAACCAGGGTTCATGGTGATGAAAATACCAACAGATGGAGTTAGTGATATTATTTCTCCCATAAAATTGAATTTTTCTTTCTTGTCCCTGAGTAAAGAAAAGTAAATTACCAGACCTTAATTTACAAGTTGCGTCGTACTTCTTCTAAAAATGTGAAAACGTCTGTTGACTTCGAAGTCGACCGAAGATTTAGTAGCAGTCTTTATACCAAGCAACGCAGTTATTCTCTATACTATCATTTACCTGCCTTACATTTGTATTGTATTACCTGATAGCATCCTGAACAGACTTCACTTGCACAGCTACTACAGACAGCACCTCTACAGAGATTCGGTTGAACTCATCAAAGCATCCCCACGCACCCGTCTGTGCGAGCCCTTTGTATATATTTCCGCAAGACTACAAACAACATACATACCATATTATCATGTATTATGAATGAGTAGAACCATTAATAAATGCATTATACATCTTTTCGTAATCGTAACAACACCCGTTTGTTATGTTATGTGTCCAATGTATCTAATAGGGCATGAGTTAGAGCTTATTTTAATACGCAGGTTCCGTTTCAAACTGCTGCTATTGAGAAATGTCGATGCCCATGCTTGGCAGTCGCACTCGCGACTAATTTAACCAATGCACGAGGGCAATCAGACAACAAAGTAGTACAATGAGTACTTTTCTTCCTACAATACTTTATGGAAATACGAGGACAGGTTATTTGCTTATATTGGCAAATGTGAAATGACCTAGTTCCAACTATTTAGGAACAAAGGCGGATTTACCGCAAAGTGGTCTTAGCAACTTTCATCCATATTAGTTACGTTCTTAAAAAGGATTCTTGCAGATTTGAGTCATACAATTAGCCGGGAGCTAAAACCATTATGGAGTTGGACACTGAAACACGTCATTGGTTACAAATAGCTACAGTAATCACAAATTTGGAGACGAACAATTATTTTTAAATTAACTGTACTTCAACTGTTTGGTTAAATTCATGTTGTTCAGATGTATACGCCTTAACAAAGAAGCAAAATATTTACGAAGTTCTAATTACCTGATAGTCCATCTGTTCAGAGCAGTTGAAGACATATACCATGATGCCAAGAGCTCTTCCTAGATCCTTTGTTGTCTCAGTCTTGCCAGTACCGGCTGGTCCGGCAGGACCGCCACCCATGATTAGATGTAAAGACTGAAAAAGCAAAAATATTAATTCATGCTAGTAGACAATGATAAACAAAGACATATTCTTTAAATATTATTGTTTTTTTTTTAATAATATCTACTTACTTGAGTCAGGGTGATGTAACACCGATCAGTCAGCGGTGTGATCACCAATCTCGGAGTGTTACCCAAATATTCATAGCTGTATGTAAACTGCGCGTCACAGATATTTGCAAAACAATGGTATTCTTTCTCGCCCCATCTGAAAAAGAAGTTCTCTTTGATCAAATCTTCTCTAAAAATCATACTGTGTACTATAAGTTGATTCGAAAAAAATAAATCTACTTAGTTCGATTTCTGGACAAAGTAATATTGAGATCTATATTTTAGAAGTTGTCAATAACAGCACGAGGCGTCTGAAAATCTGTAATCAGTTCGTCCTCTATTAAAAGAACTTCAGAAAACTGAAATTTATTTGTGCTTCTCTACACTCGAACTTGTATTTTCGATTAATTAATAGAAATGAATAGATCGTAATCTATAATTACATCATAATTATGTGCGTGCAAAAGCAAATCCTTATACTTAATTGGCATAAATGTAAGAATTTGATAAATGATCATTAATTATCGCTGTATTTTCGCATGTGGCTGCGTAACAGGAAACAATGCGTTCGTAAGAGATACATTATTGATATTACAGGATTACAGGACAATGACTTGTTAACCTAATTTTTATAGTTGATAAACATCTATGACTTAATAATACTTCATACTTACTATGATGCTAAAGAGAACTACAAACACATCGCTACTAGGAACAAAAATAATCCAAACATTGCATTCAACACGTTGCAAAAATAAAGTGAAATTGAATAAATAAATGAATAAGACTAACATGGGGATCAAAGACGTTTCATATAAGTCCTCATTTATTTCATTACCAACCTGTGTCGAAGCTGCGACTGCCACTGGAATGCTGACCCAGCCTCCACCTTGGCCTGAATCATTTTACTAACAACATCTCTTGAATGGACATCAATAGTACAAATCGTCATGATCTTCTGTCTGTCTTGCTTCGTCAGCTCTCCTATGAGCAACGAAATTAATGTACTGAGCTGAGATAACTGCTTCTTGTAATAATCCTTCAAAGCATTATCATATCCTTCTTCCAGTCTCGCAAAGGCCATATTGACTTCAGTAGTCCACCAGATTTGGGACCCACATAATGATACTTGGGCCATGAAATCAAAGAGCCACTGTTCTCTTGGTTTTTCTTCGTATGATACAATCGCTTCTCCGAAGTAGTGTCTGATGGTTGATCTCATCATGTCTTGTAGTCTGTTCAGCCATATTTCAACCTACAGGGGGATTTTGTGATTAAAGATATATAAATCTTTAAAGATATATAAAAAAAAGATTTCCTCGTTGGCCGAGAGGTCGCAAGTGCGACTGCCGGGCAAGGGGTCAAGGGGTCTCGGGTTAGATTCCCGGGTCGGGCAAAGTATTACTGGGTTTATAAAAATTCTCAGTAGTAGCACGGAGTCTGGAATTGTGCCCGGTATATGACACTCACCTCCTATTACATGGGACTCATAACATAAATAGTGAAAAGTGGGTGTTACATTGTACAGTGGCATAATGTGCACCTCTGCCTATCCCTTCGGGGATAAAAGGCGTGATGTTATGTTATGAGATATATAAATTTTGAAGCGCATTTTATGAACAGTCATCTCATACAGAATACAGAACAATTATATCTGTTAGTGATAAAATTTCAATACCTAGTTTAGATTTATTGGTTGTGGCTAACATAGAAACAGTATTTTAATGGACTTACAGCTCCAGTACAATCGCAAGTTCCATGAAAGGGAACCAGCTCTCCGTCCTTTGCAATCATGCCTGAAGCTACCTTTTCACCAGGTTTTTGATCCTCAATGAATTTCAGCTTAGCAATGGAATCAAACAGTTTTGTTAAATGTCTGAAAAAAATAAAAAACTCTTAACTACTGTAAAAATAAATACAAAAGTTTAAAGAAAGTTTGCGCTAACCTGATAACTAAATCGGCTTGATTTCCATTAGACAAAATGTCCAATAAATCTGCAGAAGACACAAAATAGAACCTTGGGAATGCCAATCTCTTTGTTTCCAAATACTCTGCTAAAGCTTTCTCACAAATTATGAGATCTTTCTGTATGCTGTCTAAATGTTCCACCAAGCCTTCTTTATTAGTACCTTTTACTACATTTGGAGTTTTCGCCATTTCAGCTGATAAAATCTAAAATTGCAGAAAAACAATAATAATTCCACGCCAGCCTAATTGACAGTAAGTTCAGTCCCACAAAAATATTTCGGTTAACATTTTAACTTACTTTGAACTCAGCATCAATCCTATCGAACCTAGCGGAATCTTCAGGCAGCTGTTTTCTAATATCTTCTGAGCTCATGAAAATACTCTCTAAATGTGTCCAAGTTCTTTGAACTTCAAACCACACTGTGATCACTTGATCAGCAATAGATAGTTTTTGCTGCCAGCCTGATACTTCTTCCAAGAAATACGCTATGAACTTTGATGTTATCAAGTTTTGCAGTTGGACCTATAACAATTTGACATTCATGATAATTATTCATTCCTAAACATGTCCTTGTAAGATTATATTTTATCAAGTTTCACCTGATTTTCTTCTAAAGTCTCAATAAGCTCTTCACTAGCTCTCAGTAGCGTACACTGTGTACGAGCATGAACCTCTTGTTCAAACTCCAAATGACTCCATGTAGTATGCAAATCTTTCAATACCTTCTCCATAGACATCTCTTTTACAGCTTTATCTACAATATTCTTGACCTCTTCTTCACATTCGTGTAAGTTCAGGGCAAGTAAATCAGCCAACGTCGTATTCATATCCATTACGATTCTTACCTATATTATTACATCGACTTTTAGAAAACCAGTTTCACATAAATAGAAAAAAAATATATTTACATGATGATAAATAATCAACTTTATGTCTACAGATTTTAAATTAAATTTATGTAAATTGTTTAACTCGTGTTAAATACTTACGTAAGTGCGAATTATTCGAATGACAGGAATTAAATATTTAATTAGTGGAATACAAAACTAATATAGATATGACACACTTCCAAATGCGCTAACACGAAGCAGTGTAGACAGTGTAGTTGAGTATTAAAAAAATGTGAAGATGTCAAACATAAAGTAAATGTTGGAAACAATATTTAAAAAGTTAGTAAAGTTGTTATAGTACAAAGTAAATATGTACACTATACACACCGAGGCATTGTCATACTTACAGTGAGCTCACGTGGTAATGCTGCTAAGCTCTGTGAATCACAAACATATTTACATTCGCATACAAATTCATTCGATGCATACTTTCAAAACATTGACGTTGTATAATACAAAGTATCAGGCAATCACAAACTGTACAATTAAGTGAATGTTTCATTCAAAGCAAATGCATGCCGCGTTTAAACGAAAAGTTACCATAACCATTCGATGAGTTAAAAGTAAACATAAAATTACCAAGTTCCAAATATTTGAACAAATAATTGAGCAAATGGAATGATAACTTCAAACGACCATGCAAAATGCATAATTGAAAGTCTCAAACCCATCAGCTGATTCGCAATCCACATCTTGAAAGTGCTAACACAACATTCATGTTATATTTACATTTTATATTTATTTATTTACAATTTCATTTAAGTATTTAAATTCCCTAATGATATAAAGTTCACCTTAGTTGTACTCATCAGTTGGTCCCAATGCCTTTCCCTGATCGCTGGGTTTTGGAGCTCACCGACTGCTCGCAATGATGTGAGCATATTCTTTACTGTGGCTTCCAAGGTTATGTATGTATCCCAACTAGAAAGGTACAATTTTAATTGACGTGTTTTAGAGATAATATTTCTGTTATTTTATTTTGTTCTTCACCTACCTCCTCATCTCCTTGTCAAGTAATCGAATCTCTTTAGCAAACTTTTTGCATTCAATATCCATATTTTCAACGTCTATTTTACGCCATGGTGTAGTCTTCCAATCTTCTATGCTAGTTCTTACAATGTATACGTAATCCCAAAGTTGCTAGAAAACCATAGTAACACCGTTAGCAACCTAACTAAAATTTTATATTTTCATCTCAAAATCAATTTTAATACCTTTAACATCCTTAATTCCTTCCTACATTGCTTTAACAATTTGAACTCTGGGACGTTTACTTCGAACAAGGATCCTGACTCCTGTATGCTCCTCATCTCTTCTTCCAGGTATAATAATTCAAAATCTACTCTCGACATCACTTCGTAAGGATCTTCACAGTCATATTTGAAGAACTACAAATCGATTTAGCATTAACATTTTCAAACTAAAATCATTTAAAGAACTTGAAGTCTGAATTGTTCCGTCCTTACCTCATATCGTTTGAACACTTCTCTATAGTACGTGACATGGCTATCAAAAGTTGATATCTTCTTTCTTATTCCAGATACTTCAGCAGCTTGCAACGGTGCTACTTGCTGTTTCACCGTCAGCGCCAATTTCTTTGTTGCTTGCCATTGCTCGGGTAGTTCCTAAGAAGCATAAGTGATAGTTTTATCAACCAATACAATATCTTAAGACTATTCTCCAAGGATCGTTTTTGTCTGCTTATATTTACCTGCAGCAATACATTGACTTCTTCCGGTATATCCATGTCGTAGAACTTCAGGAGTTCAATGGTCTCCGTTAGTGGTTGGAACATGTCATCGGTGGTAACTGTCCGATCCTTTACATGCATCAGGTACCCCATTATTCTGACGAGTGCTTCGTAGTCTCCTTCTGGTACTGGTTGTAGTAAGCCTGACAAAAAGAGTAGAGTTCACTTAATACGTTACTAATGGCAAACTTAGTATTTTTATTACTTAGCGTTCAAAAGTAGATGTACTCAATTGTGCATACCTTCATCAGCGTCCCTTATAAAGTTCCCTAAGTCACTGAGACTGCAAGTCACTTTGTTGACCAAATGCTCTTTGTACATATTGCCCCATTTCCTTACAGTGTTCAGTAAAGCTTGCCTGAACGGTCGAACATCCACCTGAGATGAAATTAGTAAAAAGTTAAGAAGGTAACGTCACTACTTAAAACTATTTTACAATTGTTGGTTCATCTCCCACCTGAAACCAGTTATTGAAGATTTTATAAGGCTGCATATCCTCAATTTCCATGAACAAGTTTTCATAATGATCAATTTGCTCTCTAAAAGCTTCCATTTTAGGTTCACATGGCACTGGAACATCGCCTTCTATTCTATCTTTTTCTTCCAGAGCTAGTTTGTCCACTTCATCAGGAGTTAGAATCCTGCCGTATGTCAGGAATATTTCCATCACAGCATCTCTTTCTTCAAGCCATAAGTAGGAATAGTTCTCAAAGGTTTTGCAAAATTCATTTGCATCCTCAATGACCTATGAATAATTCCAAAATAAGGATAAAGAACAAAAAATACATTTAACATTTAGTTCATTCAGTAGGTATAAATACTAATTAACTTATTAATATGATGAAGTATACTATATATCAATACGTTTTCAGGTGATTAATTACCTTTTCGATCCCATTCAAAATTTCTTCCTTCATCTCAATAACATCATCACTGCCAATAATTTCCTTCTCATATGTCTGCTCTTTCTGCTTATCAATTCTCTCGATCAACGTAGACATATTTACTACATCCTCAATAAGGCTCTTTATTAATGCTGTGAAACCTTTCTCATCACTTGGATCTAAGCTTGGAACGAATACCATGTCTGGGTCTAAAAGTTCCAGCTGAGCTTCAAATAATGGAGATAATTTGTTTTTAGGATTCATGTGTTCTGTTATGTAGCCCAAACTGTAAATATTAAGTTGAACATCGCTATATAAAATGATCTTATCAACTTTATAGAACAAATTATTTCAAACCCAATAGATACATATCTGAAAGGCTCTACTCAATTTTATTAATATAAAATTGAGTAGAGCAAATATAAAACAGAGGTGGATTAATATTTAATATTTAAGTATAATTACTTAAATATCTCCATCCATCTCTGTTAGAAAAGAATTTGTAGTGACCTAATACTTAAGCGCGTTTTTGTATTAGGACACAATTGCACTACTTCTTTCACTTAAAGACTTAGTACATACTAAATAAAACCTAAAACTAGTTTCTAAAACATGAAAATTAAGATTATACCTGCATGCAATAGTTTTAAACAATGCTTCCTCCAACAACGCATCAATAAACGCGACGTAGTTCATCCAAATTTCACTATTTTGGTTATTTTGCATGTTAAATAGTTCCATGTTCTCATTCAGCAATTCATTGATTCGATTAGCTGTACTAATGATGTCATTATAACGTTTATCTTTCCTGTCAGGACGATCTTCTAAATTCATTAACGTATCCTATAAAAAATATATGCATATTAAAGTATTAAATACCTTTCCGCATTGTCATAAGCTCTATTATAGACTGTCTCACCTTCTTTCCTTCCTTTCGTTCAAACAATGGCTGCACTGACCAATCTTTCATAGTTTCTTTAATTTCCACTAAATTAGATTGTATTTTCGACATTCTTTCGAATAGATTACCTACTAATGTGTGGAGTTCTTGCAAGTAATTCCATAAATCTGTAATAAATCTCATATTTAGTATCATCTGTTCCAAATGCTTAATCTGTTTCATGCTATAATATCAATGCATTACCATTAGAATTCCAATTCAGTTTATTTTGTGCCATTTCAATTCTCTGATCAATAGCCTTTATTTCATCTTCTACCAAATCAAATTCCACTTTTTGGCTGTTCTTTCGAATCTGGTTGTACCAATCTATTGTTATTCCCAAATTGATCCTGTATTGTCTATACGTTTCTTGTTTCTCAAATATAGCTAAGGCATCAGCTGGAAGCATGTCTTTGTACTGATCATTTGATCGTAAGTGATGTACTTCTTTCAGAATATCTAGAAGCTGAAAGGACATAATATCAATTGCATTTCAAATATTCTATGTTATGAATTAAAAATCTTGCTGTTGATTTAAATGATCAGAACTAACCATTGGATGAAAATTTAATACCAAGTCCGAGCCTTGCCGTGCTAGTATCATATTGTTGGTTGTCTCTTCAATGATCTTCGAAACCGTAAGAGTCCAATCATAGAAATATTTCCTTTTAAACTCATTGATTTTCTCAATCAATTCCTCATGTCTTATGAAGATCTTCTTCGCCTCATCCGTACCCTTTATCCTAGAGAAGTCGTAATTAATAAGTTTGCCTTATTTGAAGTTTTGACTTTCAGAAGCAATGTGTGTAGTATTTATGTGAGTGCTTGGAATTAACTACAAAGAGAAAAAACTGGGAAGTATTCTAGGTCTACTAATCCAAAAACATGAAACCTCAGGATATGGATTTTTGTAAAGTATATAGACGAGTGTAAGCCAAATAATCAGCTTTCGCAATTTGCCCCACCCAGGCTCACTTACGGGTGCGGCAAATTGCGAAAGCTAGCTATAGGCTTGGTTATTCTTGCAGCTAGCGTAGTCATGAACAGTAGGCCGCCGGCAATGGGAGGCAGGTAGGCATCCACTTCCATCATGCCGTATTTCTCCAAACGGTTGCTCTGTTCATTGAACAATTCCTGAAAGATAGACTAAGCTACACCAAACTTCAATTACCTAATGAAACTCTTCTACCACACATTATCCATTGTCATAATGAATGATGAATTTGTAAAAATGGAAACTTACTTCGCAAGTATTAATTTCTTCTTCAAGCATAACTATGATCTCCACATACTTTGCTGTGAATTCTTTGCTAATAAGAGGTCGATCCAAAACTGATCCAACAACATCAATCAACTGAAATAAGTATAACATTACTGTATCGTGCGATCTCTCGATTGTTTTATCCTAATTGAATTTTCATTAAATAATTGATCACAGTCATGCAATCGAATTACCTTGAAAATGGATTCTAATGTCGTGCAATTATCAAACGATTCAACTAAAACCGTCGAAAGTTTTAGATCCAGATCAATAATGTTCTCTTGGAATGCTTTGAAATCTTCGTTAAATGTTTCATCGTCTGGGTCCAGTACATCATATGACTTTGAGGCAAACCCAGTAAAATAAGCATCGAATTCTGCTGATATTTCTCTAATTTGTCCTCCGAGAACTCTTCCTTTCATCCCACCAATCTCTATCTTCTCCAATTTTTGAAATTCCAAAACTGTTTTGAAGAACCATTGTATCGTGTTTAATCTGTCTAAGAATTTATTGAGTCTCTCAAATACAACGTTAGGATGAAATGTCCACGGTATCACTCGCCTGTCGACGAAATATTTCCCCAAATTTTCTTTAAAATACTCGAAGGTCGCTTTAAACTTCTTGAGTATGTCTATCGTGACTTGTATCCGTAGTGTCGCTTCATCGATGTCACTGTGAAATAATGTGGTTGGATCCAAACATTTTTTGGCCTAAAATAGAAAATTGTCTTTTACTTCGATGGCATTGGAATACTACAACTGTTACGTAACAGCCGCGTGCTTCGTACCTTCGTGCTAAGTCGCAAGTTCATAAATCGTAAACAACTAGACTGGGTCTATTTATTTTTGTAGTTCGTGAACATCCTAAAATTAATAATTCATATAGCGTTTTGGCTACAGAATGTCTAGGAACGTTACCTACTTTGACAATATCGCAAACTGGTACGAATTTACTTAGTGCTTGTGTACCTAACTATATTTTGCATGCGAACATACATAACGTCGAAAAACGACGGTGGTAACGCAATCTTTGTAACCACATGTGGTTATTGCATGTAGGCGTTTGAATATTGAGTTGAGCAAGTGTGTGCATGGGTAAGGCATGAGGTCAATTATACCAGAATTTTAAACTTCTCATACAAGCTACGGCTCATTTAGATTGAACGACTTTTAGTAACCGCAAGTGCGCAATTAGTCTGCGGACTTACTCAACTTTGTATGATATTTCCTAATTATTTAATTACTTAATATTTTCGCGTTATGTAGGTATTACGTCTGCTACGTCCCTAATTGCCCGGACATCAGGCCAACTTCATTCCAGGAGCCATCATTTTTAAATTACACAATCAGATGAGTAAAATTACAACATAATGAGAATTTCACAATCGAGAAAGGTATTAATATTACTTAGCTCGACCCGAGAATCAAGCTCATGACCTCTCCTGTCACTTTCACGATCATTTAACTAAGAAATGTGATAGCATACAGAGTAATTAGTACAACCGCATCATGTGCTGTGAATGATTGGCAGCTCATCATTCACATTGCCACGCTGTTTGCAATAAGAGATACCTAAACGTGTGGCGTTATAATTTCATTTAGAAAACAGTCGATTTCATTTCAGGAAATTTAGAAGCATTTAGATTGTTTGTAAATACATCAATAAGGACGATTAGGTACGAATTATTGACTTGAGTTATGAGTTCGAAAACGAACCCACTACATTAGTAAAATCAGTGCAAGTCATTAGCACGATTTTCTTTGTTTTTATTCGATTTCAATTCCTGTACAGAACAACTATTTGTGTGTTTCACAAATTGTAGTTCCGGGTCTGTGTCCGATGCGGATGTGAAGTTCGATATTTTTAAAGCTACACGACACAGGAGATAATACATACTAGCGTGGATCAAACGGTATAAAAAAAGAACATCAATAAATAAAAAATATATAACAATGTCTCATTTGATCACTTACTTGATAAATCAGTAAATTGGATATCTGTTTCAACAACACAATGAGTTTTGAGGAGTTGCAGTAGTATTTAGAGTCTCTCCAGATCATGCAGATGACGTGAAAGAGAGGTCGGAATAATGGCTGACACTCCGTGAAGTCTATCTCTTCTAAACCTTGGAAGTGCTTCTCTAATGTTCGGAGATACAGGTCTATTTCACGGGCCTCCGCTAATGCTGCAAATCGAAACAAGACCTCCTTTCAGCAGTTCCACCCACTAAACTAACGATGTAGTTATTACATGTGTATTGAATAATCCATTGTACTATTTTAACCGACTCCAAAAAAAGGAAGTTCTCTGTTTGACTTGTATAAGTGTAGGTAGGTATAGGTATGTATGATTGACTGAACCGATTTTGATGCGGTTTTCAGAAAAGTGTTTGTTAAACCTTGTTCGAACTGCGCTAGTATTTTAGTCGAGTAGCGAGTTTTTAGTAGATCTCTTTCGCTTCGATTTTGGGATAGAAGCGAGAGAAGGCTACTAAATGCTCGACACTCGACTAAAATACAAGCGTAGTGCGAACAAAGCATTAGACTTAGCAGGAGGTTTTAGTATATTAATTAACAGAATTAAATACAGAGAAAGTTGAAGTCGATATTTTTAAACACAGTATAAAACAATTATTAAGTAGGTACATAATATAATCATACTGTAAATGCATTAGGTACTTATAAGAAAAACTTTCTACCTTCATTGTTTATCTGTATATACAAACCTGAAACGATGTTCTTAAACAGTCTGCTGAAGCAAGGATAGTAGGCTGACGTCGTTTTCTCCAATATTACTGCCATACACCTGACTCTCTCTGTTCGTAGCTGGTCATAAATGTAGTTCAAATTACTGAGTCTTGATTTCCAGAAAGCCAGTTCTAGAGAAATGTTAAAATTTAATTGGGGTTTTGTGTTTTTGTCGTTGACAAATAGCAATAAAGAGTGATATTTGCAAATAGTAACCAAAGCGTAGCCTATTTTAGATACGCATTTAAGTGGAAAGTTGAAGTTGTCTTCAATATAACAGATAATAGATACAGTACCAAATCGTGCACAGGAATTGTTTCATGTAGGTGTAAGATAGGTTGTAAAGGGATCTTCAGAAGAATATTATAAAAATGTGTTTATAGCGTCATCTAAAAAAAAAATGCCTAACCAACACTCGGCGACGGATTCTGTCCATTATCAAATGCCTGTGCCGAGTCCTCCATCATCACATCATTGATCTGCTGAGCCCATTTGATGACCACTCCCTCGATAGCACTCTTCAAGTACAAGTCTACCTCCTTCCCTCTTATCAGTTCCTTCTCTGCTTCATGGACTAGCTCTACACCCACTGGCATTGGTAACACTGTTTGACCGTTTACTTTGCCTTTTACCTAAGTACAAATTAACTTGGTTTAGATAATAATAAAATGTTTGGAATGTACTTAATGTAATCATATTTTTTAAATACGCCACTAAAACCCTGACCAATTTGGTAGTTTCCAGGGTATCAAATTTAAAAATCTAATTAGTTCGTCAGTTAGATAGTGAAAAAATATTAGACACGTATTTTTTTTATTTTCTCGTATTTAGTTTTAATACTTAGATAAAATGCCGCCAAGTTTAGGAGTGGAAGGTCGTTACGTCATAACGTGCCACAAAATGTGACACGCTGTGACGTCACACAATATTTCAAATGAATATATCGTCGAAAGTATTTAATTTTGTAAGAAAAGAAAAAATACGTGTCTAAAGTTTTAAATTAATGTACCAGACGGACATTAATATCAAATTTAGGAATCTGCCCTATTGTCTGACTTTATCGATGTTAAAACTTGAAAGGATCTTTTAATATTTATCATGTCGTAATGAAACAGATCGTATAGACTACAAACGATCATGTGATTGCAGTGTCGAGTCATTAGACCTAGTACCTAATTTACGTATCAGTGGATAAAAACCAACAAACTGCATACATAAAACCAACAAAAGCGGCAAACGAAATTTTCCGACTGCGAGAAAGAAATACATTTCCATACCTCATAAACCGTGCTCTTGAGATTGTGAATTTGTTTGAGAATATCTTGGGAGACGACAAGAGGCCAGCCTTGATGGTTCAACGGGTTAGAAAGAAGAGGCACAAATACCTCGTCAACCAGTGCGGCTAACTCATCTATTAGTCTTGGTGCTAGGTCGCCTATAGAGAAAGATTTGTTTACGTAAATAAAAATTATAAGAATGTCGTAGTACATTTCAAACAAGAAAATATTAGTCTCACCAAAAATAACCATCTGCGCGCAATCTTCCTTCGGTATAGCATCCGGCTTCTTCTTGACAAAGTAAACAGCTTTGTTCTTCAAGTAACATGGGAATGACACGACTGGCACTAACTGCAGTGCATTCGTCAGGACCACCACCAAAAGCATGGGCAAAGGCTTGTCCACAAAGTCCTTCAAAGTGGACCTGTGTTCTTCCAAACCCAGCACCCTCATCCATTTTTCAGGCTTCAATTTAAGCGATTTTACTGCATAAGACCCTATGAAGTCGAAACGAGGGTCCTGATTGGATGACGATGGAGCCTGGTGGTCCATGTTTGGTAAGAATAAGAGATTTCTTTGTAAGTTAAGTCATTTTGAAGACCTGCTTCTCCTACGCCGGTTGGAACGTCTTTGACAAAGTATGGACTGCGAAAGGTAGAGGCAAAAGGCAAGTCACGCAAGTCCCAACGGCATGCCATTATGGAACGATGTCTCCTTTGTAACGAGCATCAGCATAGCTATACTAAAATACATTAAGTGTAGGGTGTACACAAAAAGTGGATTAACTTAAGCCGCCTATGAAACTTTCTTTGTACGTCTCATTTACTGATCCAGTATAAATATTGTATTGTAAGTGCCTATCAGAAAACTAAAAACGACGGACGGAAAAATCTCAAATCTAGTGGTTGTGGCGTAGGCAACTGACCAAGAACCTTATGGTTATACTAAAAGAGCCGAGAGTGCCATCATACACTCAACTTATTTTTAAACACAAATATCATTTTCCCTACTGCCGTCATTATTTGAAATTGACAAAATGATAAGTTAAGTTGCCTACTACGAAAATTTAGTCAATATTTAAATAGCAATCGTTATTGAACAACTGCTTCTGCCACCAGTACAGTAAGTGGGCAAAGCGCGTACCAGGCGGTTAGCGCGCCGCCCTGCGCCGCCCGCCAGCAAGATGACACTCGTGCGACGTCGCCCAAGAATAAGGTCAACTGTCGTAGTTATAACCTTTGTGTGCCACAAGTCAAAGGCTGAAGCGATATTGTATAGCACCTACTTATCACATAACTAACATCATGCTTTTATAAAGTAGACAGAAGTGTACAAATTAAATGTTATGAACTAATAAGTATTGAGTCACACAGTGAGTAGCATAGGTACCTTTCCTTCATAAAGCCTAAAGCCTTCAAAAGGCTGTAATAATAAAGTCATAAGTCTACTCACCTTATAAGAGATAGACCAAGTTTACTTACCTACAGTAGGTAGATTAGTATCTACTTTACTTAATTCGTTGGTTAGGTATATTTCTACTTAAGTACTCCTCAAAACTCATAAAAAATCATCATCACATCATACCTATAAGACCGAGATATTTTGATAAACTCCGTCTAAGCATAAAATTAAATAGCATCAAAACAAATTAATTACACAGCTGCCTAATTAAATATAGTTACACGCTGTTAACTTGTACCTTGCTATCACTTCCACCAATCATACTGGGTTAGTTACATAAAATCATAGCTGAACCTTCCTGAAATATAAACTGACGTGTTGAATGTTTTATAATTTATTTACCTTTCATTAAATTCCTCGGATCAAACTTCCATTTCGCTTGCATTAATCCAATAAATCAAATATGATGGATTCCTTTCACGCGAGTCTTCATCGCGATCGTAACTTTGGATGGCAATTAGATTTCCATTTGTCAGATGTTAACTTGGGCATTAAATAAATATTATTCTAGGTATAGGTAGTAGCAAGAAAAAGTTTCTGCAGAGATAACAATTGGAATAAAATATTTTACAGCCAGTACATATTTGCTAAAACTGATAACGAAAGATGTATATTCGTGTTCCCGCCGTTTTGTATCTTTGAAATGTCAGTACCAAAGACGCAAGTTATTTTTTTTTATTTGCAACAGTTAATCAGCATTATGCCTAAGCGTTTTCAAGCCAGTTTTTAGTTGTATTTTTAATCGTGTTCGATGTTAGATTCTATGTCCTAAAATTTATTTCAGGCGATAACCAGATAACTACATTATATGATACTTACGCGTATTTACTAACATTAGAGCTCATTTTTAATAGATACTTAGGGAGTTCATTCAGCAACTTGTCTTCGTAGTAATCATTCGGTAATTATACGAACAGCATGCCGCGTTGTCTGCTCGCTACCACTTCCTTATAGCTTCATTGTATGTTTTGATGTTTCTCATGTTAGTATATCCTTGTATAACTGTATCCTAGGTTTATAAAATGCAGGTATATTCTTCAATCTACAAAGTGCAAGGACAAAACATATTTACTATTTAGGGTTATCAAATCTAGAAGTTCGGTTAATCGGTATAGGGGTTTACTAAAATATTAAAATTGTCTCTAGTTCATAATGTAATGAAAAAGCTACTTTCAGATTCCAATATTTTTACTTCCTTTTCAGCTACTTCAATTACTACTTTCATCTAATAACTAGTTACTATTATAGTTCAGATTCACAACTATCTAAATCCAAAGTTCTATTTTTATGACATTAGGGTATCTACAAACTACAGGAATAAAATACAGAAACAATATTTTATAATACATTTATTGATAATGACAGCGATGGTTGACTCGAACTTGCTACTTGGCAAAAATATTTCCACTAGAAGTGAACTATTTTTGTATTTAAATATTAAAATCTCTTTATTATGCTTTATGTGTATAGTAATGAAGATGCAACCATCTATGCTACAAAGTAGCTGCCCATTTATCACAAAAAGAATTAGAAATACATACATTACTTTGTCATTTATTTATTTTACATTTCCAATTCTGGCAAAATTAATTTACTTAACTGTATCTACGCTAAAATAAAATCCATGCAAGTCACATTTCATAAAATAATAATATTACATTCACATTCTTAAAAGCGTGTGATATCTTGAATTGACTGCGAATAATACACACAATTTTCTAATATGAAATAATATTAAACAACAAATTATTTCATTTACCTAAATACTATTTGTTTAAAACAAAAGCACAGCACATGGTCAGCTTAATTTCTAAAAATTAAATTAGGACCTACGAGACGCTGCTTTTAAGGTCACTATTTGCCTAAACCTAGGAGCCCTAGTGCACACTCCGAGACATCTGACCCGAGCCGACACATTCAAGGCGTGGTACCTGCTTCGCTTGACAGCCAGTCCTTTGCCCGTGTTCTACCAAACTACTGGACATAAGCACATCAAGAGTTTCAAAGACACATCCTACTATATTTCAAAATACGTATATTTCATTTTAGATTTTTTAACGTCGACTACACATTGAGCTGTCCTAGTTAGGGCCAGATTTATTTATTATAATGGTAAATACTTTTACATTCAAAGTTAAAAATCGTAAAATGCAAAATAAACGCCATATAAGTCGCATTCTGTAGTTAAAATTCTAACTAATCACTGATAAATACTACTGAACGTCTGCTAGAACGATAAATGTATAGAAAAAATGGAATGTTTAAGTACGACAGTCTAATAAGCTTTCGATAAATGTTTATCGTGATAATTCTATGTATGTGACAAATATGATGTCAGTCAATGCTTACAAGTTATCTGATCCGCTGTCCCATGGCGAGGCATCAGTGGCGTCATACCACCAACGTAACAATACCAACGAGTCCCGAGAGATCGCAATGGATCACACGGTAGTGTCACGTATCGCTCGCTATGGAATCGCGGCTCTACTAAAATTGGCATTAAATTCTCGAGTGCATACTTTGAAACAGCTGTTTTTATAATTTTTGAATAACATTTTATATTAATAACTTACTTACATTTAAATGTAAATATACATATGTTTACAGAGGTATTCGTTGACGCCACATGTTGGAATGCAACTCAGCGACCTATGGCGACACACAACACTTTCGATGATACGTTTCGACGCGTGACGAGAACTAGAATGTTCTACGATGTGACGTCACAGAATTGCCCTCAAGGAATGGAGGCAAGTGGCGAACTATGAACGAACGCTGAAAGTGGGACTTACAAACGCTAGTAGATAACGAGGCGTGTTACTCTATTCTGTGTACTCATTTAGTGTACTTACGAACGATTACTTTACTAAGAGGATGGAATATACATTAGGTGATCTAAGAAGCCCCGTCTTACCACGGAGCGAACAATGTGGACATTACCTAATACGATTACACGCGCACTATGCCGCTACAATATATCTTGATAAATTATCCAAATTAGGCTTTATTCCAAAATTAAACTATAACTCTTCGTATTACTATAATGGAGAGAACATTGATTAAGAATTTTGTTTCCTAATTACAGATAGAATACCTCATCGATTTATTGTTCGAACGTGGATGGAGATAATAAATTGAGGACATTTTTTAAGTAAGTGACATTTAATTTACAGAATGCCGATTGACGACTACATTTACATAAAATTTCGAATATACACAACCTAATCGATATAAATGTGTGTGTGTGGCGCAAGAGATGAGTGAATCTATGACGTCACACCTGTCAGAGCTGATAGACGTCTTCTTGGCAAGAGAACCTCGCCGACACAAAAATGACGGCCGACACTTAATCGATAATAAAAATGAAATATTAGAAAGGATCACTAGTAGTGTTATATCGAATTACAAGCATTACAATGGCAGTATAGATTGCTCGGTTCGCTCACCGCTTGCGCCGTACATCGGAGCGTCAATGTCTGGACTTGTTATCCGTCAGTGGTTAATGTACTAAGTACAAAGTCTTTTACAAGGACGAAGATGTAATATTGGACGATTTCATAAACTACTTGAGATACACCTTTAAATAAAAGGGGCAAAAGCAGGCGTCGAAATAAAAAAATAAGATTTTTAATAGTTAGGTGGCAAGATACTATCACAATCGAAACTGGCAATCGTGTGTCGAACACAAAATGCACGTGAGCACTATGCAGTAATAGGTTAGAATATTATAAGAAGAGGTAGGGTGAAGCATACAATTAAGAACGCTATTTACTGGTACATAAGACACGGTATCGAAAGTAGTTTCGAAATTACTTAATTAAGTTTGGCGACACCCTAAAACGCGGACAAGAATCGAACACTTCACCCTAATTTGAAAACGTCATATAAAATGCAACAGTGAAGAGAAACAGTAAAATGTCAAAATCACAGAAGTTATATTCCCTGTGCAGAATATAAAACTGTGCGGTCACACGAGGTTAAGCAGATACAGTGGTCGATGAGCTAGATATAGATAAATAGGTATACAGTATCGTAACAGCTATGACCACAAACTATACATTAGAAGGAATTTATACAAATAACTTAATAAA